GAGGAAAGAGACAACCCAAGAGAAAGCAGAAGCAAACAGGGATTTTTTTTTTTCCAGAGCCCTCCAGGGAGGACCCTTCACAGCGAGGTTTCCCCCGGTCAGTGCACACAGACAACTCCACCGGTTTGGGATTTGGCAGCCACGGAAAGCCAGCAGCACAGCTTCTCAGGAGCTGCCAACAACAACAGCATCCCCTACCAGCATCTTTTCCACCCAGACAGCAAAGTCCTAGGGCAGCAAATATGGCTTGGAACGGGAGAATCCCTCCCCTCTCCGATCCAGTTGGGCCTCTGAGCCCTCACAGAGGCCACTACGAGACCTGGGTCTCATCAGCCCCATCCTCTGCTTGTACCAGCCCTGGGGCTCTCACCTGGGGACAGACACAACCCACGAGCAGGAACCTTCCCCACGAGGCTCCACATGTCACAGCCTGGGTGTGTCCAGCCAGCCCAGCTGCCACCACACCCCTCAGCAGCAGCACCGACCTCCCTGGGAGCACCAGGGCACTTCCTCACACTCCCACCAGCCCCTGGCTCCACAGTGACACCTCACACACCTTTTCCTTCCCCAGCTCCAGACACCGAGGACAGCGGAGCCTTCGGAGCTCCTGCTGTGAAGGACACACGATAAAACAGCCACGTTCCATCACTCACTTCCCTCCAACCCCATCCAAGTGGTTCCAGGTTCAGAGACCACAATCCTTGGACTCTTCCAAAGAGGGGAGGGCAGAGCAAAACACACAGAGGAAAAGGCAGGATTTAGGCACCAGCTTCCAAAACTGGAAACAAATCCTTTCCAATCCCACACAGAAAACAAGATAAAAGTATTCCTTCTTTCCACTGAAAGAGGCAAACGATGCCTTCATTGATATTTAAAAACTCCTTTCAATTGCAAAGTCCCCTATTCCTCTCCCAGTAAAAAGTTAAAATCCCACTTGGTGCACAGTAAAATTCCTCCCCAGTCCCTTGCAGTTCTGTTCCCAGTAGCCAGCAGAAGACAACAACAGCAGCAGAGGAAACGTCCCCAAAGGCTCCTGGCATCCCTGCACGGCCACAAAAGCATCTGTACAGGATCTACAGCAACAGCAGGGGGAGGGTCAGGAGCTCAGGTTTAATTAACACACACGAGCAGGGAGCGAAGCCTCGCGACTTGATGCACTTGCTGAAGGAGTGACAAAGTGGATGGGCCACCAGTCCTACCTGTCCCAGAGCCTCCAGGTGAGACTTTGGGCCCAGCAGGTACCTGATCACAAGGAAAGACTCCCGTGACACCCAGTTTCCACTCAGACAGATGGATTCCAGCTCAAGTCACAGAGGCTGACCCTTGGACTGGACTGGTAGGGGAGAGACTACTGGGAGCGACATAAATAACACAGCAGGGTAGAGGGGCAAAATATTAATTAAAACCATTTCATAATTTATTAAGAGGTTAAATAGTAAATAAGTCTCTGGATCTTCCACTCTCAGCAGGTGCCAAGACTTCACATTTTCCTGTGTCGGGAGATTCTGTACACCCTTCTTTCGATGGATGCCAAAGCCAGAAACAGGATGTTGAAGGGAGGGGGGAAAAGAAGTGGGGGCTTGACACTGAGAAAGGGACCAGAATAAAAGATAAAATACTGTGCCGTCATCTTGTGCAGATTGAAGCTTCTCCCAGCAGCTGCAGCCTCCGAAGAGTCCAAGGGTAAGGGCTGTTTGGGAACCTTCTCCCCCTCCAGTGCCACTCCTTCCCCGTGAGAGAAAGTCCCAGGTCAGCACTGCAAACTTATCTCCGAGAGAACCTGTTTTTGAAAGCTTTGATAGTCTTTGCCATCATTGGTGCAATTTCTGCCACGGAGAAAGGAGAGGGGGGAAAAAAAAAAAAAAAAAAGACAAATCAAACAAAAAACCCCCACATATGAAAGGAGCAGTGGCAGAGTAAGAGCAGAGAGCAATTCAAAGCTGCAGCCCCTGGCAAGTGTGTGCTCTCTGATCGTGGCCCATCCTATTTATCAGGTCACAGACTGAGGAGAACCCACTGCTTTCTGCACTGTAAGAACACAGACCTCTAGTTAAACCCTCCCTGCTTCCCTCACAAGAGAACTCCACCACACCGTCACAGCTGGACGGACACAGGACAGCAGGAGGGCACTGGTGCCATTGGGACAGGCTGACACAGTCAGCTCTGAGCAGGAGAGTGGATTGGATGTTTCCTTGTGCTCTCCCTTGTGAAAGAAGTTTGAACAGGCTCTCCTCAGGGAGAGGAGATGCCAACATCAAACCCTCCCGCACAGCCTGGAATTCTCCTGCAGCACAAGCAGCTGTGGGCGAAGGAGGAGCAAAAAGAGGCCACAGGGATATTCTGCGGGTTGTACTTACTCTTCACTGGGGGTTTCCTGGGGTCGAAGGAGGAGAAGGTGCTCCCTGAAGATGGGACAGAGTGGGCACTGCTGGTGCTGGGCCCATCGTAGGACTGCTCGTCACTTGCTCGAGTGTGGCTTTTGCTGGATGTGTACAGGACAGGTTTGATTCTGAAACACACAGGGGACAGGCATTTCAGTGAAGATTCACCACGGTTTGATGCAATTCTACAGACACAAGCCACGTTTGCCAACAGCACCACGTGGGACCATCTCTGTGCTTCCCAGCGAGAAACAGCCCAGCAGAGTTACAAGTTTCACTGGAAAAGGAGCTCCCAGACACTCAGTATCCTTTGCTGCCGGATGCAGAGCTTCAGGGGGAAGCTGGCAGGAGGCACTGAGCAGCAAGTGCTACTGAAAAACACTCACTTGGTCTTCTCTGGCAGAAGAGGCCCTCCAGTTCCAAACTTCTCTTGTCTCCTTCGTACGTCCCGAGGGGGCTTTGCTGCAGAGTTCACAAATGCCATTTTGGCCACTCTCCCTGCAAGAGGCCACAGGGAAACACCACTTAGATCCAGCTTACTATAAATGAGGCTCCTCAGTGCTTGTCTTCAAGTTCATCCACCTCTCCCCAGTCCATCCACTCCAAAGCTCTGGTGACAGGTTTCCTCCCTAAGATCTCAACCTCTTGCAGTCACAGCATGGGCTGTGAGAAATCAGACAGATCAGCTCAGGAGTTCTCATTGCGTTCACCAAAAGAGCAGGAATGCTTCTCCCCACTCTGGTTTTCTTCAATCCCAACATGGAGAAGCCACTCTGGAAGAGGAGGTGCTTATTCAGCCCTAAGAATTCCTGCTGTAAAATATCAAAAGGCCGCTGCGCATCAACAGCGCTACGGACGAGAGCCAGAGGCTGCCAAACCACGAAGCAGAGGCCACCACACAAAGAACACAGAGCGGTGCAGCTCCTAAACTGGACTAGTTTTAAGCCAGTCATCCCAAAACACCTTTCCTCAGCCCCACCTTTGGGTTTGTTGGCGTGGGCCGAGCCGATGTTCCGCGCCAGCATGAGCAGCCGCTGCTCGCGCGCGTCGTGCAGCCGCAGGTACATCTCCCGCCACGACTCGAACTCCTCTGGCTTCTCATTCTTGAAATCTCTGAGGCAGTGATTGTGCCACAGCTGATCCGTGTCCTCGATGAGCACCTGAAACAAACCCACGCGTGGCTGGCACCCCTCCGGGCACACCTCAGCACTAGCGTCGCTGGAATTCCGCAGAGGGAACTGCGGCAAGAGACGGGCAAGATGGCAAATCCAGGAACTCGGGGCCATCAAAAGCCAACTCTTGTTATAAAAAAAAGCTTTGTTCCCAGCTATTCTGCAGACGAGGACAGAACATGACTGTTCCATGCCACATCCCTCCCCAGCCAAGGCACTCACATGATTACATTCCTCGATGCGATACAGCTGCTCCGGGGTGCATCTCTCCAACACCGGCTCCAGCACGGAGAAAGGGACACCACCCACTTCATAGATTGCTAGAGAGAAGCAAGATGCACAGAGTATTATTTATCCTGCTCCTTCCTTGCTGAGGAAAGGGCTTGACACCTTCAAATGCAGCGGGAAAAACTGTAGGACTGTACGAGGGGAAGGGAAAAAGGACCTGAGGCACCGGTACCTCCATGTTAAGAGGTGCCTGCGCAGGCTCTGCCACAGTTTTCAGTGCTTCAGCACTGCCTGAAAGCATTCTGGGTGCTGATCCCTGCAGCACCCGAGCTTTCAGGGAGGTCTGTCCCATACCTGTGAGAAGGGTCTGTTGTTCCCACACTCCAGTCCAGGCGCTGCCTGGATTTATACAAACAAGCTGCCAAAATTTCAGTGTAACTGCGGAAAGGTACTCACAGTCGATGTTGTTGCTGAGGACCCTGATGCACTGCTGGTACAGGGACATCATCTTTGGGAGGTAGGCAGTTTTGGAGCCCGAGTACACCTGCATTTTTGAGTTTAACCGTCGGCCCGTGAAACCTGCTTCGCTCTCCTCAACCGGCGAGGACACTGCTGTGAGGGGGAGGACTTGGAGTGAGAAGGGAGCAGGGAAATGAAGAGCCCACCCAGATGAACACCACAGAGACACAAATTGGATTAATCCACAAGCAACCCCAAGGGCAAAGCCTTTTCCAAGAGACCTGCAAGCCTCACTCAGGCAGGGAAAGCCCAAAGCCCAAACCCCAAAGAAGGGTCAGCAAAGGATTTTCAGCTGCTTTTCTCTGAAACCTGGACCCTGGGCAGAGCCCAGCAGAAAGACCTGGACCCAGCCAGCATCCACTCCTGCTCTCTCCCACAAACTGGCTCGTTCCAAACATATTTTCCTGCCCAACATACCTTTCCTTTTTGTCTGGGAGCAGGTAATGGACTCGATGGAGGGAAGAGGACGATAGTTGGCCTGGATCGGGGGCAATGGGATGTCTGGTAACGTTGGTACCACATCTAAGATTATCTGGAAAGAGAGGATGGACATGCAAGTGAGACAGGAATACAGGAGGATGTGACATCCCACCAGTGTACAAACAGCACTGAACTGCATTCTTTTGCATATTTTGAATAAACCACTCAATGCTGATCAGTCCCCACAAGGAAACAGTCTCAGGGGGTAGCTCTGTCTAGGCTGTCAATAGGAACAAGCCAAAATTTGGGATCTGAATCACTCAGCTTCCTCCAGTAAGAGACATCCACATCTTTAACCTACTCAGGACAAGCAGAAACACATCCTTGATCTCAAACACTCATTTACCTGTTCTGCCTCCTCTTCTCCTCCTGCAAAAAAACTCTGCAGTGGTAGAGAAAGGATTGTCACAAACTGAGGGAAACTTAAAACTTTGACATGAGGCACTTTTTAGAATGAATGGCACAGCAGAATTTTAAACGCTGTTAACATTATAAAAAACACTTTTTGAAGAGCCAAGTGCTTCAAAGTTCAGTAAAAGGATGAAACAGTAAAGGTTTTTACATGTTAGACCCTCTTTATACACCAAGCCCTGGCACTCATGTGACAGTGAATATGAACAGAAACACTGCTCATTTTCCAGGCTTTCACAAAAGGAGGTTTGTCTTCTGGAATAAGCTGCATTGTAACACCAGTTCTCCCATTTCTGGACACCAACAGATTTAATTAACAAAGCTGTAGTACCAATACAGATAAAAAAAAGACTCATTTTAGAGTGAAATACTTGAGAGGGGAGACATGGGAACCTTGTTGTTAGCAGGAGATGCACTGAACAGTGGGCTGGATTTTAAGCTGACTCACCTCTACAGACACTCTGCCTGTTTAACAAGTGCATCATTGTCCAGTACTCTTCCTTATGAGTATTTAGCTGAAAGTTTTCTCTTTTGCTCTCCCCATTTTTTGACCAAACATAAAATAATAAGCATAAAAAACACCCGCTGCATTCCTTTCTTCCCCCCTCGTCTTCACCCACTTTTCCAAGGGGAAAACTAACAAGCCCCAGAGGGCAGAGGACCGAGGGCAGCTGATCCCACCTTCTTTGCTCACTGTCCCATCCTTCCAAACCTTACCCTCTTTGGTTTAGGAGGCTCTGGGGGTTTCTTCTCTGCCTTTTTCTCGCTTGTTCTCTTGTGGCTTGGACTTTTCTGACTCGAGCTGGAGCTGTTGGTGCTGGCTTTGGATCCGTTCTGTTTGCTGTGCCCTCGGTCCTTCTCCCCAGCTGAGCCAGCCGGGGCTTTGACCACTTTCTTTTTCTTTTTCTGGGGCTGGTCGTAGCTCAGATACGACTCGAAGGACATCGTGGGCTGTTCAAACTCGTCCTCCGCTTCCCCCTCCCCGGAATTGGAGGAGAAACCCGCTGATTTTTTGTCCACGTCGGGCATTTTGCGCTTCCCCTCCGAGGATTTTAAGCTCCCGGAACCCCCCTTTTCCTTGACCCTGTTAGAGGAGTCGGCCTCAGCTTTCCGCTTCTCCCGCTCCGCGTTGGAGGTCTCCAGGCTCGGCTTGGGCTTTTCCAGTTTGCTCTTTTCAGAGTCCCGATGCTTTTGCTTCTTCACGTGGTTGTCCAGAGACTCTTCCAAGGGGGGTAACGTGTGAAGCTTCTCCTTTTTGGAGGTGCTGCTTTCTCGGTTCTTCTCCTTCTTGGTGCCGTCCGACGTCCTCTGCTTCTCCTTGCCGGCCGCTGCCGCGGGGGATTCTCGGAGCTGCTCTTTAAAGGAGGTCTTGTGCAATCTCTCTGGGCTGAAGGTAGAGGTCCTCTCATCCCCTCTGCCATCAAGGCGCTGCTTCTTGTGAGATTTGTGCTCTTTGCTTCGACTCGCGTTCCCTTTGTCACAGAAGTCGCCGGAGTTCCGGCCTCCCACGAGCTTCTCCTGAAAGCTGTGGCCTTTGCTGGCTTTCCGGTGGAATACTGGGGGTTCTTCCTGCTCCTCAGAGGCGTAAGGGTCTGTGTCCATGTCCTGAGGGCTCTCACTCGGCTCAGGTGACACAGCTTGTCCACAGTCCGAGTACTCCTGATCTGAAGAGAGCACCGGGGAGGATCTGCCCCAACCCTTCCCCTGGTGGCTGCTATAGCCATAAGTCTCGTGGGCTCTCTCAGGCCTGGGATACCTTTTGGACTTCTTTTCCCTATGATCTGGGCTGTAGGACTGGCTGCAAGATGGCTGGAAGGGCTCTGAGTAATCCTGGTCAGGCTCCTCATCCTCTCTGAGGGAGGACTCCTGATGTCTTTTGCTTGAGCTGCTCCTCTCGTAGTCACGGTCTTCGGAGTCCAGGTTATTCCTGAGGGGAGAAGAAAATTGAACAGATTAAAATGTCCCACTGTGACTGAAAAGAGCCAATCCCTATGGACTATGTGGACTGGAACATCTCCTACAGAAGGCTAAGGCTGTGTTTGGTAGTTTTGTGGTGAGAACGCCACTGATTTTCTCAGGTCCGGCAACATTCAGGGATTTAAAAACTGCATTTCTAATGCAGGAATTGATCAAGCACTTTTATCAGAACTAGAGACAGATTTGTACAGGACCTTCTCCCACGCTGTGTGGTGCCTATAGGGAATGTCCTCCAGTTCCCAGTGAAGCACATGGGAATACCAGTCATTTAAATTCCCGTGAAAAACTGGATCTTTATCATTCAAATCTATTTGATCTCATTGCTGGGCTCAACACAGCTCTGTTACTGCAACATGTCTGCTGTCACTAACTCCCAGTTTCCACAGGGTTTTGGCTCATAAAAGCCTTCTTTCAAAGCAGGCCACTTCCTCTCCTTGGGCCTAGAACTTCCTGTCTTTAGCACCATAAAATGGGAAGCAAGCAGATTGCAGCTCTTGGCTTTATTTAAGGCACTCTCCTGGCATCTCCTGTTAATCTCTTCATCAGATTCTTGAAAACTGGTCCCCTACTTCCACACAAAACTGCAGCCATCAGCACATAATGCTCCACAGCCAGCAAAGGCAGGAAGTTTATGCCAAAACCAGGCAAAAAAAAAAAAAAAACAGGTAGAGTCAGACATTTGTGTTATGAGCTTCTCCACAGCCTTCACTGGGCTTCCTGGGCCAGAGGGGTTTATGATGTCCCCTGCAAAGGCATCCCAAAGCTCACCCATGAGGTTGACTCACCGCTCTGCCTCTTGGGCCACTGGCACCAGCTTCTTCCACCTGGCCACGAGGTCCTTGGCAAAGTCTCCCACGAGCTCGTGCTTCCGAAGGCTGTTCACGGTCTTCCCAATACCCGTCTCCTTCATGGGAGAGCCAAGAACATGAATCCATCTTAGCAAAACAGGCATTCTCACCCCTGCTAAAGTTCCTACGGAGTCAGTGAAGTCAACACACCACCTGCTGCTGCAGGGTAGGGATAAAATCCCTTGATCTAACAGCAAAGACATCCCGTTTTCCATGTTTCCTGCTGACATTACGTCATTTACTGCATGTAAATCAGAGACTTAATCCTACCTGAGTCTAATTATTTGTATTAATAATCCAAGCTAGTATTTGCCATGGCAGCTGATAAACTTGAGGGCAGAAGCCATCAATAATTTTAAGGATTAGCACTTCTTAATTTCATGCTGATTTATCACTGGGATCCACTCCGGCTCTCATATCCCAGTCAAGTGTTAAAGCTTTTGGAAGAACTGAGGATGACAGACCATCCTCCACGGCTTTCCACCTGCTCTGACACGCTCCTTCCCCATGCCTGGCACTTCCAGAACCTTATCACAATCACACAATGACACCAGGCAGGAGCAGGTGGCCAAGGAAACACCCACCCCGTGCCAGGGAGAGCAGCGTTTCCGTGGAAAACACTCATCCCGTGACTCGACAGACACCGTGAAAGGGGGAGAGATTTCACAGCTCTTACCACGAGAATGTCAACTGTGATGGGCAGCTCTGAGAGCCTCTTCAGACTTTTCAGCAGCTGTGGGAGACAAGAGGAAAAGTGTTCAGAGTCGTCACACGGAACCACACGGCCGGGATTAGGGAGGAGGAAAATTCTGCGCTGCCTGAGAGCTTGTTAGGAAGATCCAAGTGGCTGCCAGCTGCTGTCTCGCTCCAAAAGAGCTCCTGAGAAGCTGAGAACTGTAAAGAAATTATCATCTCTTTGCCTAAGAGAACACATCTGAGTCTTAGAACGCAATCAAATATTAATGTTTTCCTCACACGGGCCCTGCAATTTAAATCTGGCTTAGAGCATCGGGGACAGACCCACAGCAAGAGGAAGAGGGGGATTGGAAAGTGGGGCTGGAATCGGATCCCTTGGCAAGAGGGGTGGGAACAAACACAAAGAAAAAGAGGAAGGGAGATTTCTAGAACCTGTGTCTCTTTTGCTGACCCTCCCCTGGGCCAGTGCTGCTGACAGTCTCTCTCCTCTCAGGTGCTAAAAAGGCACCTGATCCCTTCCACAGCCACTGCCTCCCATCCCACTCGTTTCTCTCCCCTTCGCTGAACACCAGGGAAGTGTTTCCTCCACACACCCCAAGCGAGGCCCCATCAGCACCTACAGCCACTCCACGGGACAAGGGCTCCAATGTGCACCCCAGCAAGGAGCTGCAGGAGCCTGACAAGAGGCAGTGGGGTTGGTCACAGGTCGGACTCGATGAAGGTCTTTTCCAACCCTAATGATTGTTGGGATTCGAGGTGAATGGGATGTTCTTGTACCTCTGCCACCCAGGTGGTTTGGGGCATGGCCTCACCCACGCCTGTTGGCTCTGTAGCTACAGCACATGGTGGAGCACATCTGACAGCACTGTTGCCCCTCACATTATTTCCCACAGCTCAGCTATAGCCACAGTCCAGCCTCATCAGCATTCCCATTATTATAGCCCCTATACAGCCCAGGCTTTGCTCAGCACTCCTATGCTATATGCCATACAAAGGGCTGCCCCCGAGCCAGATCTTCTCTTTAAAACACTGTGCTCGTGCTCAAATCAGCACTGTCAGCCTAAGCTATTCCAGTCACCCCCCACGTCCACCATGCAAGGGGCAGAGAGTTTCACAAGTCTCCTTTTTGAAGGAAATGAGTTCTTTGAACCTCGAGAGAGCAACCCTTCCTCGACACCGAGAGAAGGGTTCACCCGGCTGAAGCAAAACCAGGACAGTTCCTGTTCACCAGAAACCAACTCCTTTATATTTAGGGCTTAATAACCGCGACACAAGGTTTCGGTTTTCTTGTTTCAGAAGACTGAAACAGTGATACCAAGAGTAACTGCTCTGTTACCTTGCCAGCACCGCCGCTCAACAAGTGCACCGACAACCGAAGCCACCAAACCAGAGACAGCAGAGACACAGCCCAGCTCTGCTGCCTTCCCCCAGACAGGCAAGGCCTGCCACAGTCCATGAGTCAGGATCCCTCTAGGAAGGCCAAGATCCTCCTGGCAGTGATAATAAAGGAGTTTGGATTATTGTGCACAAAGGTCCACTGGAAGGGGAAGAAGGATGGGTTCTGTATGAGATGGTAGAAAAAGTCAAACAGGACACTATTAAGACAACAGCATCCCTTTAAGCTGATTAACTTCCTAGAGAGGTTGTTTCAGAGCTTACAAAATCCCACTATGAGAATAAGAGCCCAGGGAGGACTTGTTCTGGTATCCGTAAAGCCTCCCAATTATTTTCTAGCTACACCCCACTGCAGCACTTCCCAGAGCTCTTTAGTTATTTGTTGCCTTCAGGGCTGAGTTCCAGGAAGAAAAGAGCTGTTCTCAATGGGAATGCTGTTCTCAGTGTGGTCCGAGACCAGGGGACACAAACACTGGATCCAGAACACGTCTCACAGGGAGCTGGGTTATTCCACACCCACTTCAGTCAACCTCTGTGGGACACAAGTCAGTGTGAGACAATTTCAAAGCACTGAGCCCTAAAAACTTGTGCTAATCTGTATTTCCCACGGAATTGAGCTGATGGAGGCAACCAGAAAGAAGATAGAGAGCACCAGGTCCATACCTTAGGAGGCACCAGATGAACCACACACAGCAAAGCTCTTCCAAAACACCCCAGTGCAGACCAGAGTTCCAGTCAATCAGCCACAGGACACAGCCCATGAAAACTTTCCTTGGTTCCAGCTCCAATCAGGTTTTGTTGAACATGGGTGGATTGTTTTCTTATTCTAAAACTCACCCAGACCGTTACGACACTAAAAACACAGATTAATATCAAATTACTCCAGCACAGCCTGGCTGCCTCCTCTCTGTGAAGATGCTCTTATTCATGTTTTCCTTCTCCTCTTTCCTCCCTCAGTCCTGCAGCAGAGTTTGTAACCTTCTCTGCTGGGAAAAAAAAGACTCTTTCCAAACCATTACAGCACCGTGCAAGATTTCCCTCACGCCGTTCTGTGCCAATTTTTCACCTAAAACCAATAATAATACTTAAAACCTTTCAGCAAGGCAACGAGCTGAACACTTTTCTGGGCAAATATTGTTCTTTCACATTCATGATACGGCATTTTCAAAGGACAAGGCAAGAAAAGTGAAGACTGGAAACGGTGTAAGGTGCAGGCAGCACCCAGGGATGCCGTGGATCGGTCCTGCTGACAGGGCAAACTTTTTGGCAGAGGGAGATCCTCAGAAAATCCATCAAGGGAATGCAATGGCCACTAAATTCAGGCTTTGAAACACTGATGCTTTCAAGGATATAGCTGGAAAGGTATCAGAAATCAAGAGTACAGATGAAAGGGCCTTTCTGCTGGGGAAGGGAAAAGGGTTTTGGTGTCACCACCTTGCTCTGCCCGCCCTTGCAAAACTGCACAGGATCAACAGAGCAAGAAACCACTTTACTCCACGAGGTCACTGGAGAAAGAGCCAGGCTGTGCAAACACCGCCCCAAGTCCTGCAGCGCCCCAGAAACACACACAAGCACTTGTTGCCCCAGGCTGGCACAAGGGTCAGGGAACAGGAGCTCTAATTGTCTGTGCAGTATTTGAAGTCTCGGCCGTGTTCTCGGCACCACGGAGCCCACACCCTCTGAAATCAGCTCCCTGGCAGCCCCTCAGCTCCATTTGGGGCTCCACCAATTAAACCCTGCCCTGGTCCTGGCTGACAGGCTGAAAGAAGTAACCAGATCCTATCACATCACCCCCCAGCGAGGCTGGAGCTGGTGCAAGAGCTCCCATTTCAAAGGGTCAGCACTTGACCATCCACTCCTCTTCCTGGGCAGCAGGAGATCTTGGAAAGAGAGGTTCTGCAGGTGTTTGCCTCAGTTAAACAAAGCCAGCCGAGCACAGGGCACCTGCACAGCCCTCCCTGCCTCCTCTTTCACCCCAACTGCACAAAACACGAACCAAACACCTGCGAGCAGCCACAGCAGATGCTCCTCCTTTAAAACGGGACATCCTGGACACCGGCATCACAGCGGGATAACACCGGTATCACAGTGGAATAACAGCACGCCCGGGATTTCCCCGTAACTCCAAAATTTCCCTGGAGAAAGCAGCCCGGGAGGCCGGTTTGTGCCGGCAGGGGGGTGGCTGTGCGGGCAGCACATTTTGGCAGCGGGCAAGAAGAGCCAAGCAAGTCCTCCCGGAGGGAGCCAGCCCCTCGCCCCGACCCACCCCCGCGGCGGTGCCAGGGGGTCCTGTCCCCCCGCCGTGTCCCCCCCACTCCAGCCTCGCGGTTGTGCCCCCCCTTCGCCGCCCCGTCCCCTCCAGCCCCCGCTCGGGCACCGCGGCTCCTCCACGAGGAACACGTCACCAGGGAAAGACTCTTCCGGCAAGTTCTCCCGATGCCCAACCGCGCCCCAGCCCTGCCAGCGGGGACCCCAAAAAGGAGGGGTGTCACTGCCACGGGGGGACCCCCTGCCCAGCCGCACCCCAACCCTGCCAGCACGGATCCCAGAAGGGACCCCTGCCCGTCACTACCACGGGGAACCCCACGCGGGACCCCAAAAGAGAACCCAAAAGGGACCCTTGCCCGATACTGTGGCGGGGGGATCCCACGAGGGACCTCTGCCCGCCACTGCTACAAGGGCACCGCAAAAGGGATCCCTGCCCACCAGTGCCACAGGGGGACCCCACACGGGACCCCTGCCCGCACCCCACCCGTGCCACGGCGGAACCCCACACGGGACCCCTGCCCGCCGCTGCCACGGGGGCACCCCGAAAGGAACCGCAGCCCGCGGGGGCTGCTGATAGAGCAGGCGATCCCATCGCGGACAACCCCCGCACCCCTCGCCCCGCGGCCGGGCACGGCACTCCGCGGAGGGGGGACCCGCGGCGGCGGCGGCGGGCAGGCCCCACGCCGCGCCCCGCGCCCTCCCGCGCCCCGTCCCTGCCGCCGGACCCCCCCCTCCTCCCCGCACCCACGGCGGGCCGGAGGAGCCGCCGTCACCTTCTTGGGCTCGGCGCTGCCCGCCAGCCGCGCCTGCAGCCGGCCCACGACTTCCAGCACCGACTCCGCCATGTTTGGTGCTGGCCGGGCCGGGCGGCGGAAGCGGCTTCAGCGCCCGCCGCGCACACGGAGCGGCCCCGCCGCCGCCGCTGCCGCCGCCATCTTGGCTGCGGGCAGGAAGGGGAAGGGGTGCGGCGAGGCCTCGGCCATTCAGGGTGAGGGCAGAGTTCGGCGCCGCCATGTTGGGGCCTGGCGGCGGCGCCGGGCGGCGCCATCTTGAGTAAGGGCAGGGCGGGGCTGAGGGGGGCGCGGCCGCCATGGCCCCCCCTGAGGGAGTTGAGGGGGTCCGCCGAGATCGGGACGGGCTTCCACGGAATTAAAGAGGGATTAGGGTTGGAAGGGACCCCTGGAGGTCATCCAGTGACACAGGAACGCGTGCAAGGTGGGTTTGGAATGTCTCCAGAGAGGGGGACTCCACGCCCTCCCTGGGCAGCTGTTTTAGAAGTTCCGCCTCATGTTGAGGTGGAACTTGTGTTTTAGTTTATGTCCATTGCTCCGTGTCTTGCCACTTGAAAAGAGTCTGACACCATCCTCTGACAGCCCTTGGAGATATTTGTATGGATTGATGGATTCGCTCTCAGCCTTCCCTTCTCCAGACTGACCAGGCCCAGCCGCCCCAGTCTCTCCTCATCACAGAGATGCTCCAGTCCTTTAATCATCTTTGTTGCCTCCACTGGATGCTCTCTAGCAGCTCCTTGTCTTTCCCGGGTGCCCTCAACCACTTCTCAATGCTGTTCAAAAGCCTGATGTAAATGCAGATGTGATATGAGCAGTCAGGTGGCTGGGGGGGAAGCAGAGGGAGAGGAGAACATTGTGTGGGGAAAGCTGAGGGTCTCTGTGCCTCAACCTGCAATGCTGGTGCTTCCACCCTGGACTAACCAGTCTGAGAGCAAGGTAAGAGCAGCCCCAGCCTTTGGTGAGTCATGGGGAGCCAGGGCTCACCTGGCAAGACCTGCAGAGATTTGTGGGGGGTGCAGGAACTGCTGAATAATGGAAATAATGTCATGGGGAAAGACTTCGGTGCTTTCTAAAATGGGGCTGCAGCGAAGCAGTGCCTAGAGCTACAGAGTCCAAGTAGTTTTACAGGTTGGCTTGGAGTTTGCTGTGACTCACACCCTGATTGAACGCAGGGATGGAGGCACCAGCAGGCGAAGGACTCTGTCTGGTTAAAGAAAATAATCCTGACCTAACATTCTGAAGACACAGTGTCACCCAGAGTAGGTCCTGCTTCTCCTTGGGATTGGTGGCAGCAAGGATGCTCTGTGCTGTATCTCAGGGAGATGCAGGTCTGAGGGATCTGGAGAGAAAAACTGGAAAAAAAATTTTTTTTTTCCTTGAAATTTCAACATTTAACCCGTGTTTTCAATTCCAAATCCAACTGAAAAAGCAAAGTTTCCCAAGGAATGGCTAGTCTGACCATGCTGTGTGTTTGGAAACATCCAAGTATTGTTGCTCTGAAAGGATAAATCCCAGTTCCTTCTCCCAGTGCTGAGCCAGAAACCACTTCACATCCAAACATAGGGCAGAGCAGCATTTGTGTCCCATTTCCAGCAGTGACACCCACTCCAGGATGTGACACCGTGATAGACGAGCTCTCAGTGCTGTAAACTGGAGTAGCCCCGTGGAATACAATTCCAGGGATGTCTGAAGTGCCTGGGACGTCGTTCCTGAATCCCTGCGGTTTTTGAGTCATCCCTGCAGTTGGGACAGTGGAGGCTGCACCACGTAAATCCAACCCCTGCTCCTCAAGAGCAGCTCTTTATCAGCCCAGGTTGTTCTCCTGCCTCTTGAGTGTGAGTGTCCCCAAATTCTCAGGTCTGGAGGAGCCCCCCCCGACTTAAAATTCACAACACAAGGAAGGGGTTACAAAATTTTATTTACTTTTTTTTGGTAGCAGGAACTGCTCATTTACCAGGAAGGATGATGCCATCATACTGTGAGGAAAGAAAAAAACAGAACCAAGTGAGAGATCACAGGAAGCAAAACCAGGCAGGAGGAGGGAAAAGGGATTCAGCAGGAGCAGGATGGAGCCCTCCCTGTGCGGGGTATGACCCAGCCAAAGTAAAGAGCCTCCAGACAGACCATCCATCCATCCTTTCCACCTCTGAAAAACTATCAGCAGTCCCCATCCCTGAGAATTCCAACCTTTTATCAGCTCCCATTCATGATCCAATTATTCATTATGTGGCCCCAAGGACCTGTTTTTTATTTGGATGGCTCCATCCTCCAAGCCCGGCAGCTGAGCTGGGAGCAGTGTCAGATCGACAAATCCTAACCCTGCCCCATCACGTACATGTAACACCTCCAAAAACTGTGGCAGCCTTTTCCACGAGAGCTGACACCTCCTCCCAGCTCTCCTGCAAGAGCTGCTCCTCCACTTCAGCTCACACACAAGTAAGAATAGCATGAACAGCACCTCGTGCTCAAATGCAGCCTCCACTGCTCTGGGGCAGTAAAAATCTGCGATTTAAGCACTGAGCAAGATCTTCCCCTGCCCAGCAACTCGCTTCAGCCCTTCCATAAAACATTTTGTTGATCCTTGCTTGGAAATCCTTGGGATAGAAGAATAAAGAGGGCCTTTACCTTCTGCTGAAACCAGCGCATGGCTTCCTCCTTCCCAATTCTGTGCTTGGCCCCGATGTTGCCAGTCCTGCGTTTCTTGTCAGCGATGCTGAAGCCTGGCCTGCCCAGCACCTGCAGGAGGAGGCCAACAGCACTGCTTCAACCCCGGCATTTATTGATTTTCTTCAATTTAACCTCTTTCTAGGAGGGGAGCCTGGAATTTCCATAGCAGTGGCACTTCGTTGCGCTGCTGCTCCTTCCCTCCCCAGACCCAGCCCAGCTGTCTCAGTGACATCCCCAAGCAACACTATTTGCTTCTGAAGAGGCCTTTGTGAGACTTCCCATAAAATCAGGGATTTTATATCCTCCCAGAGCTGCAGGGAAGCAGGGAACACTCACCACATAGAAGTCCAGGCCGTAGATACCGATACTGGGATCGTATTTAATGCCCAGATCGATGTGTTCCTGGATTCCAAAGCCGAAGTTCCCGGTGTCTGAGAAGTTGTTTTTCCTCAGCTCGTATTCTCGCACCTGAAAGGTTGGTTGTTTGGTCACTGTTTTGTTACTGACTGGGAGTAACAAGTAACATGTTCTGCCAGCTGCTACCAGACCCCCAACCCGCTCACATGCTGCTAAATCTTCATCCCTGAGAATTTCCTCCCCCAGGCTGCTCATAAATCCCAGCAGCAAAGACAAATCCCCTCCAAAATGAGCTCACAAATAAGGATAAATCAGCACCCAAAGAAACTGTGAACGTAACAGACTGTATTCATGACTGACTTGTATCCAGATCAGGTGCAACATTTCGGAGCACACCCCTCTTCACTCGGAATGGGGAGGTTTTGTTCTTCCACAAGGCAAAGAATCCAGCCCAAATTCTCACCTTCAACCCTTTCTCCAGGATCTCCTCTGCCTTGGCCCCGCGCACCGTGCAGTGAACGGCAATCTTCTCGTTCCTCCTGATCCCAAAGGACCTCACCGTGTACCGGGCTGTGGGCAGCAACAACCGCACTCAGGGAACGGCCAGAGAATTCCCACCGCTGGGATTCAGAGCTCCGTGCCACCACAGAAAAAAGGGAATTAAAAAGAGCCAAGACAGCCTCTCTTTGGGGATGCTGGCAGAGCAGCAGCAGCAGAGTCTGGTGGCAGAACTGACCTGACACAACCCCCCGCCAGCCCCTGATTGTTTAAGACCCTCCGTTCTCCAGCAGGAACCCACATCAGAGCGGCCCTTCCCACATCGGAACCTCATCCTGGGAGCCGCGCTACCCCTGCACCGTCCGCACGCCCAGGAGAGGGAGCAGAACAAGGGAAACAACCAGGAAGAGCCAAGAAAACAACGAGGAACAAACCGCTGGGTCCCCTCACCTTTGGAAAACACGGGGGTCTGGCCCGTGAGCTGCTCCAACACTTTGGCGGCGCGGGTCAGCCGGTCCCCGCTCTCCCCGACGCAGATGTTGAGGCAGAGTTTGCGGATCCGCAGCTCCCGCATCGGGTTCTCCTTCTCACCCTGGTCTTGCTGCGGAGAGACCACACGGGCGGTGAGCGGGGGTGCCCGGGGGAAGGGCTCCCGCCGGCGGACACCGCGGCCCCGCCGCCCCTTCCCCGGCAGCGGGAGGGCCGCGGCCTGTCACGGCTGCCGCTCCCCGCGGGCGCCACACCGAGCGCTGCCCGCCCATCCCGCCCCCGCGGGTGTCCCGCCAGCCCGCCGCGCTCCTGCCGTGGCCGGGTGAGCCGCGGCGCGGGCGGAGGGAGGCGGATGGAGGCGGATGGAACCGGGCCGGGCTCGCAGCGCCGCCACTCACCGCCATGATGGAGGCGGGGAAAAGGCGCGCCCGCTGCCGCCGCGGGGGGTTGTGGGAGGGCGCGCCGGCGGCGGCGCCCCCTGGCGGGCGGAGGGCGGCGGGAGCGGTTGCCATGGCAACCCCAATATTGATTATTGCCCATGATTGGAAACAAAGGGCAATAATAATGAATGATAATGATGGTAATAACAACAATAATATCACAAACAATGATAACGACAATAACAATAATTATAATATAGTAATGACTATTATAAATATGAATGGTGTCAATAATAATGATTATTATAATAATTATCATCATAATAATTATAATAGTAACAATAACAATAATATTAGAATAATGATAACAACAACAACGAAAGGAAAGGGAACACAGTTCCTGGGGTATCCTCTGTAGGGCTAAGAATTGGACTTGATCCTGACAACAACAACAACAATAATAATACAAGGGAAAGAAAGAAAAAGATAAAAAACCCCACCAAACAGTTGATGCCCAGTTCTTGGGGTGTCCTATGCAGGACCAGGAGTTGGACTCGATGTTGGAGCTTCTCCACTCTCAAGTAGCAGCGAGTGTAACTCATCAGAGCTTCTCACACCCTCATGGCCCCAAATTCCCTGAACGAGACCTGGGAGCGCAGTTCAGTTTCACTTCACTCTTTCAGTGAAGTGTTGGTGGGTTTTGGGGCTGTGCCTGGGATCTGGATCCTCTTTTTGCACCATTTTGGCTCAGTCTGGAGCAAGGAAGGATCGCAGCTGCTCTGGGAAGGGGATGGGCCAAATTCACACCCTTTTTGGAGTCCGAACTTCTCTTCAGTTTCCCTATTCATCCCCTTCCCTGTCTCCCTGGGGCCGTGCTCGGGGCTGCCAGGCTGGGCTTTGCAATGCCATCAATTATTTTTTGCCCCAGTTGCTTCTAAGAGGGGATGAAGGATAAATGAATAACCAGCTTGTCTCATTAAGAAGAGGAAAAAAAAAGCGTTGGGGAGTCTGTGTGCAGAGATTGTGAAAAACCTCTGGTTAAACACTAACATTAGTGCTTCATTATTGATTTCCTTCATCTCAGAACAGCTTTGCTGGAAATAGCTGCAGGCTTGGCTGGCATCCAGCTTCCCAGCAATGCATGGATCCTGTTTGGATCCTGCAGCCACTGTGGAGATCCTGGGGAGCAAAAATAGAGCATAATGGTGTCAGCCTTCCCTTCACGTCCTTGTAGTGACCACCCAACTGCTGCCACCCACTAGTGAAGCCACTGACTCATCTCCACCCTCTGCTTGTAACTCCTGCCAACAGCAGGAGGGCTTTGCTCAACTCCAGACATGCGGAATCAGGGAATCATGGAATGGTTTGCGTTGGAAGGGACCTTAAAGGCCATTCAGTCCCACCCCCTGCCATGGGCAGGGACACCTTCCACTAGCCCAGATTGCTCCAAGCCCCATCCAACCTGGCCTTGGACACTTCCAGCCACAGTCCAACCTGTGCCAGCACCCACCATCCTTGCAGGGAAGAATTTCCAGATCCATCCTGTTGGAGAAGCATTTCCTGCCTTGGCATTTTTGGAAACATTACGTGCTGTGCTGAATTCAGGAAGCTTTCCTGCCTGGCATAGAGCTTCCCCCTCATTCCACTCCCTCGACCCTCTCCCCATCTCCAAGCACACCCAGATGGGTCCCATGTGGAGCTCTTCCTGCTTTCTGAGTCATCCCTGTGTCCCCAAAATAGTGCCGAGCTCTGTTTTGCCGGATGCTACATCCCATGTGCTCTTTGGGAGAGGGGGCTGGTTTGGGGTAAAGAAAGAAACCCATTACTGAGAGCAGATCTGTGTTTGTTTAGGGTTTTTTTTCCAGGGATGTGTTTTTGGTTTGTGGCCCCAAATTACGTGGCCGATGAGGAGTCCCAACTGCAGTGGGAGCGATAATTCCTGCGACCGTGCCGAAGGTATTAGTGATTCCCAGCAGGAACCCTGCATATCTGGGGACAGAATGCAAAGGTTTCCTGCGTGGGGCAGGGAGGAGACTGTCACAGGGAAGGAGAGGAGTGGGAGCTTCCAGTCCCTTCCCTCACTGCAGAAGGGGCTTCATCCTGCCCTGCCTGCATGTTGTCCTGCATCCCATCCTGCCTGCAACGCTGCCGCCTGCTCCTACTCAGGATAACATCCAGCCCTGTTGGGAAGCAAACCAAAAATGTCACCGAACGCTGGAGCAGCCCCGTGCTGTGGCAGGATTTGGGATTTCGGGGGGGGATGGAGCAGCGCTGGGACTCGAACCCACGACCCGCGTGGGAGCTCCTCCGCCTCAGAGCCACGCCCCCCGGATAGACCACGCCCCAACGATGGCCCCGCCCCGCCCGGTGCCGCGAGCGAGTCATGTGGTCGGCCAAGATGGCGGCGCTCAGGGTGGCGGTGCCGGTGCTGTCGCTGCTGCTCGGGCTGTGCCCGGGACCCGCGGCCGCCGCCGCGCCCCTCGTCATCTGGCACGGCATGGGTGAGCCGGGACCCTCGGCGGGGCGGCGGGGGCGGCGGGGGGCCGAGCGGGCCCGGGGGGCGCTCGCCGGCTCCTCTTGGTGTCCCCCTCCGCCGGTGTCCGCGGGGGCCGGGAGGTGCTGACACTCCTCCGCCGGCCCGGCGAGTGGCTGGCAGCCCCCAGCCCCTTCGCAGCGCGGGCTAGCGGTGTGTTTGTGGGGTTGAGGGCCCCGGGCCGTGGCGTGGCGTGACGTGCATCCCGATGTTCCCTCTCCCAGGAGACAGCTGCTGCAACCCGCTGAGCATGGGCTACGTTCAGAAGCTGGTGGAGAAAAAGATACCGGGGATTTACGTTCTGTCTCTCAAGATTGGAAGCAACCTAATACAGGTAACTGGGGTGTCGCTGGGGTTTCTGTGAGCAGAGGTGGCCGGTGGGTGGGTCTGAAGTTGCTGCAGTCTCAGGATTCCACAGTGATTCATGTTGTGCTTTCCCTGCTAATTGTTTTCTTCTCAGTGGAGTAAACAGCTTTGACACGTTAATAAAGTCCAATAAAGTCTGGCTAATACCTGCAGAAAAGAACTGGGGAAAAGCAAATCCCTAATCTTAATTGGATTAATATGCAAATCCAGTGATTAGCACACCCTAACCACTCCAGGTAATACATGTGATAGATGGTTTGCTAAAGCAGAGCTTTATCCCTGGCCACCCTCATTGATCTACAACTGTTTATTATTTTGTTTTATATACCTATACATTTAATTTTATTTTTATACATATATAAAATTTGAAGGGACTCAAATTGTGAAGAAGTTTGGGAAGTGTCCCTGTCCCACATGAGGCAGTTTTGCCACAGGAGGAAACAAAAGATGTGGTGAAGTCTCAAAACGGGGGTTTCGCTTCCCTCGCTGTGAAGGCTCAGCTCCTCTTTCAAAACCACAACTGTTAGTGATCTGCTTGCAGAGTTTCAGATAACACCAGGCAATTGTGAAGGTGCACAAATGACATGTTTTTAACCTGCCTAATCTCCCAGGACATGGAGAACAGCTTCTTCATGAACGTGAATGATCAGGTGAGGGAGGTTTGCAGCCAGCTCGCCGCCGACCCGCGCCTGAAGGGAGGCTACAACGCCATGGGCTTCTCCCAGGGAGGCCAATTCCTGTGAGTTCACACTCCTGCTCCCCCTCCAGTGACTTCTCTTGGGGTTCAGGCTCTGATTTAAAACCCTTTAGAAGTTCTAAGGAGACATAAACTGCCAGACTCTCTCACAGAGGCAGGAGCGCTCGCAGCGTGTTTACCTGTGGCTCTTCCCTCCCAGGAAGGGTTAAAATTCTCTCTGCAAACGTCACACCAGTGCCCAAGCCCACACAGGACCGGCACCTGTGGCTTTGGCATGTGAGCCCTGCATGTGAGGCAGGTCTCATGGCCTGGGCACGCGAGCTCAGCTCTTCCTCCTCCCCCACAGGAGGGCCGTGGCCCAGAGGTGCCCTTCTCCTCCCATGCTCAACCTGATCTCCGTCGGGGGACAGCACCAAGGTAGTGTCCTCCCCAGCTATCATACCTCCTGGTCACCTTGAAGTGGGGGGTGGGCTCCTTTTTTGGCCTCTCCCTCAGCTCTGATGGTTTTCTTTATGAATTGAACTGTCCCTTTGCTCTTGGAGCTGTTGATCTGCTTTGGCCCCCTGTCATTAGTGTCAGCCAACTGCATTATCTTCTGGACTTGCTTAACTAGCAGTGAAAAGGGACCTTTGTAAGTAGGTGACTCATTGTCTAAGTAGATTTCTCACATGCCTGGGGGCACTAGGGATTAGTTATTTCAGGAGAAATTTCTACAGGTCAAAGCCTTTGCGAAACTAAACCACCTGGGTATTTTACAACCAGCCAGTCTGCAAGGCCAAAGCCCCAAGGAAAGGGAGGTATGAAATGGAATTTAAGAGGTGTACAGTTCAGAGTGGCTGGAAATGGGTCTCAGATACTCTCCCCTGAGAAGTTCCAGTGCATTTCTTTGTAGTGTAGTGGGGAGAGTTGTAGGAGCCATGCTGGGAACAGCCCAGGTGAGCTGGACAGTGCTGAGCACCTCCCCACCCATTGTCTTTGCCACAGCTCCTGGGGCGGGATGGCTGCCTAATGGGATTGCAGGATTAAAGGCTGCCTGATTGATTCCCTGGATAATTCTTGGCTCCTGCTGTGTAAGAGGTGGTTCTTTACCCCACCAGAAGGATTAAGGGATTTAATTTTGGCTCCCTGAGCTGTCCTACCTTTCCACCCCCCAGGCGTGTACGGCTTTCCACGCTGTCCTGGCGAGAGCTCCCACGTCTGTGACTGGATCCGGAAGACCCTGGATCTGGGAGCCTACACAAAGGCTGTGCAGGAGCAGTGAGTACATCCATCAGCAGCCAGAGCCACGGGGGCAGCTCTGGGTTTCCCAGTCTGATCCTTGGTTTTTTCCCCTCTCCAGCTTAGTACAAGCAGAGTATTGGCATGACCCCCTGAAGGAGGAGGACTACAGGAAAAACAGCATCTTTTTGGCTGATATCAACCAGGAGAGGGTAAGGAGGAGGAGGATGTGACCAGGGGAGCAGAAGATTTAGCAGTTACTTCATTCACGTTGGTTCTCTTTGGCAGCAGCTTTGCTGGAGTTCCAAGGGAAGCACTTTTTGCCCTGAACCCCCAAGTATTTTTGCCGGTAGACTGACTCCTGTGTCACTGAGCTCCTCTGGAGTGGCTGGTGTGGACATGCCACGTGCTCAGACCACACCTTCAAGTGGGGGAAGCCTCTCCCCTTTCCTGGGAAGGCAGGAAAGGCCCATCCCCTCCCTGCAGCCTGGAGATGAACCCAAATGTTGTGGGATTGTTGGCACATTCCCACCCTCGAGGCTGGTGCAGCCAGGGCTCCCTGTGCAGGTGGAGAGCAGGTTGGAGCAGTTTCCCTGACCTTTCCAGTGGCTTGGATCTGTTCTGTTGCTTCCATCCAGGGCATCAACGAGACCTACAAGAAGAACCTGATGGCTCTGAAGAAGTTTGTGATGGTGAAATTCCTCAACGACACCATGGTGGACCCTCCAGTCTCTGAGGTGAGGGAGGCAGGGCAGGAGCTGCTGCTTCTGGGTGGTGTTTTGGGGTTTCTCTTTTGTCCTTGGGTGGCAGAACTGGAGGTTGGTGGGGAACAGGCTGGGCACACACACAGGCCTGACCCCACATGGTCTCCAGCAGAAGCTGCTGAAGTCCTGCTTGGCCCCTGGGAGCCCTTCAGCCTCTGTTCCCTTGTTCTTATCCTGCAGTGGTTTGGGTTTTACAAAAGTGGCCAAGCCAAGGAGACCGTCTCGCTGCAGGAGACCTCGCTGTACAAGGAGGTAGGTGCTGGGGGGACTTCTGCTCTTTCCACTCTTCAGTGTCCCTGGGGCCTTCAGGAGCTCTAAACCCCACAGCTCTGCCCTTCTCTTCTCACCATTCCTGGGGTATTCCTGTTTGTTTGGGAAGGCACTTCTCTCCAGCCACTTCTGGCAGTGGGAATGCCACTGGTGGTTCACGCCTGGCTCAGGATCCCCTTCAGTGCGTGTTTAATGCACTCTGCTCCTGTGAGATCCACACAAAATTCCTTGTTCCCCTCCACGAGGAGAAGGTCTGAAGAGCAGAGGTGGAACCCCGTTCTTCTCTCCACAGGATCGCCTGGGGCTGCAGGAGATGGACAAAGCAGGGAAGCTGGTGTTCCTGGGGGTGAAAGGGGACCACCTGCACTTCTCAGAAGAGTGGTTTGACACCACTATCCTCCCCTTCCTCCAGTGAAGCTCCTGTGAGAGCACTGGGAAGGGTTTACTGCTGTAGTTAATGCTCCTGTGCAGCAGCACTTTGTGTGTCCGAGCCTGCGGGGATCTGGGGAGGGAGGGGGAAGAGGAGGGGGGTTTAGCTCAGCACTTCCACAGCAGCAGGAAACCAGGATTTCTTTGGATGTAATTCCAGTCCCACACGGGTGTCTGACATACTCCATCCTGCACAGAGCCTGGCAGATCTGCTTCAGCTCTCAGAGCTGTGGTCACTCTGGTCCCTGGGTGATGCAGAAGGATCAGCTGGGCCAGAGGTTTGTTCTCCATCACCTGTTCCTCGCAGGACACAATGGCAGTATTAACCCCAATCACTAGTGCAGGGATCAGCAAGACTTACCTGGCTGTATGCAGGGGAATTGTGTTACAGCCTGTCTTTCAGGAGGGGGGAAAAGGGTCAAATTTAGGCGTTTCTGGGGAAAAAGGAGGGTTTGGAACTCAGGTAGTAACAGCTTGGACAGTTTTCAACTAATGGCTTGTTTTATGCACTTTTGTACAGCTGAAATCAATAAAGAACTTCACATCTAACCAACTAAAAAAGGTGAGATTTGATAACTACTGAGGCTGATTCAAGGGGAGTTGAGGAAGGTCTTTGCTTCCCTGTGGAAAACTATTCAGAGGAATTGAGGAAAACAAGGCAGAGGTGCCTCTTGTCCTACCTGAGCTCCTGTGTGCCCCCAAAAAGAGACAAGAGCCACAGTAATGAGCAAGTTGGCATTAACTTTATTCTATCTTCTGTATAATCTTAAGTACATAAGAAAGGTTTTTCCACAAGCCTCAGGAGAAGACGAGTACAAGTCACAGGACAGTTTCAAAATTAAAAAAAAAAAAAAAATTTGCATATTTTTTTTTCTTTTGTAAGTTTTGTACTAGAGAAAAAGAACATTGACACTTTTACAGAGGGAATGCATTTAAGATATGCTTATGCCACCCGAGGCGTTGGAAAAAAAAAAAAAAATGAAGGTCAAAGCACGTGCAGCTCCCTTTGTGGGCCAGTACAGTACTGTGTGATCCACCACTCTGCCCCAGGGCCCTGGAACAGAGGCTACAACCTCCCACCAAAATAAAGAGCCAAGCAACAGGGGGAAAAGGGGGAAGGATTCACTTCATGGGGACTGATTGCAGATGAGGAGGAAGAGAGCGATGAACCGACTTGATCCCACTCGGGTATTTACAACTGTCCTGGAATGGAGGAGGTCCCTTCCTCGCTGGAAGGGGACAGGTTCAGAAGAACCGTCCTGGAAGACTGAACCTGAGTTCAGCTGCTCCAAGGAGGAAGCCCTTGGGGCAAAGGTTCCCTTGTGAAGGTGGAGGGCTCATGGAGTAAGAGGTGCTCAGCTCCAAGCTACCAGCCAGGCTGCCAGGTAACCAGGGTTCCACCACTGCAGCCTTCCTGTGGCACTGGGTTAATTAAAGCCTCCTGTCATGGCACAATCAGAAATACACTGAGCTAGTAGGAATGATGGAAGAGAGGTCAGGGTGGAATGCTACGGCCCTTTGGTCCAACAAAACCATTCCCACGTCCTGTAACGCCACCAACCAGTGCACAGAGCTGGAATTGGCAGCTTCCAGGACCTTCTCAAGACATCTGCCATAGCAACTGGGTACTGTGGACTCCGACAGACACCGTTACTCGTTAAAAAGGGGACAACATTCCTCTCACATGAACAGTTTGCTTAAAGGCAAAATACAAAACAAACCCAAAAAACCCGAACAACACTCTGAAAGCCAACTGCCAGGACTGGCTGTGAAGTTCACTCTGATCAATTGGTGCAGTTAAGAGGGGAGAGAAAATACACCTTCCTGCTAATAGATGTGGACAATAACTCACCCGCCACCTACCCCAAACCCCAGGCAGAGGAATTTCAGTGACGGCAGGTAGCTGTGTCTCTCGGGTAGAAGAGAAGCAGTTTGAGAGCAGAAAGGTACAAGAAATCTAAGAGAATCATCTGAAAGCAGATTTGTCCCACAGCAGGGCCAGGGGAGGGCTTGAGCCTTGGTGCTTTTCTGCTTAGCCGGCGATTTCCGTCACAGTGGTGACCAACTTCTGACCGTTCCACACTGTCTTGAACTGTTCTGGGACGGGGAATTCAGTCTGGAGGGTGAAAACAGATCAAAAATCGGTTTATGGCTAAGACAAGTAACTACTCCCACTGCTTCAGGCATTCCTTTTCATAGATATGTACTGTGCCACCCTCCTGAGCCACCACCACTGCCTGTTCTGCCCCCAAGAGATGCCGAGGAAGGAGCAGCTCTCACAAAACAGCCGAGAATCGTTCCCAACCCCCAGACTCCAGAAGCTGTCCCTCCACACCTCCCTGTAACTGGACATTCCCTGCAGGGCTCAAAACACATCCCCCAAGCAGAGCTCCACAGGGATTTCCCAGCAGGCACTTACAAAGTCCCCCCCCTCTGTGGGAATGAGGACGTTCATCTCCGACGACTTGGCACTGACGATCTCGCAGTCCAGGGAGCTCTGGCTCAGGTACACGTGGCAACCGTCTGTCTTGTTGATGGAAATCGTTGGCACTTTTCCCATGACCTGGCAGGGCCAGAGCACCGTTAGCTTGGACTGGGCAACCACAGCATTTTTCTTTCGTGTTTGTCTCCAACCCCCTCCCACTGCAGACACAAGGGATTCAAATATTCCCACCTTCAGCAAAAACCCGAAGTTAATAATTTCTTCTTTTGATCTCCTCAACGAAATTTCAGTGGATGCTGAGCAAACTGCCCATCCCAAACCAGGTGCCAAAACTGGAACTGGAGTATATTCTCCTGCTGGCCTCCTGCTGCCCACCTCACAGAGACTCAGCTTTTCCCCACAGCCCCAAAACCAGTAGGCAAATTGTACCCTTTCAGTGAGGCAAATATTAGCCCTTTCCTGAGGGCTGGGCGAGCTGCAGAGCAGTAGGACAGATGGTGTTTCATTAATGTTCCCCAGAGATGCATATTCCTGTTCTGGAAATAAAACTACTCCAAGAACCAGATGCTGCAGATGCAGCAGTCACACTCCTGGCAGAGAGCAGGTGACAGACGCTCACCTGAACTTTAACATCCCTGCTGTTGATGATCTCTACAATTCCCACCACGTCATCAAACACCAGACCCAGCTTCTTGCAGTTATCTGCAAAAGGAAAACAAGCAGAGTAGTCACAGGAAGGTTTTGGAGGCTCAGGTTCTGCAGACACACAGCACACAGAAGCGGTTTCCGGGGTTCTCCCACTCACCGAGGGTGATGGAGTTGATCTTGCCTTTGATTTGGAGTGTACTGTTCGTGCACTTGAAAACATATGCTACCTGCTTCAACTCTGTGTCACTAATTACCAGGTTAGTGGCGTTCTCCTGGTTTTCCTGAAAAGGCAGGGAAAACACCCTTCATTTTCTGAATGCAGAGCAACTCACCCACGAGAGCAGCGGGGCACTGCAGCTCCTTGAAAAGCAAACTGCAGGTGCCTTCAGGCTGGTGCCTCTTACAAGAAAGGTCTCCAGGACACCCTCCTTCCCTGCTCCAAAGCTCCCATCCCTCCAACCCACTCATGCCCCCAGCAGGCACTCACCACTCTCCACTTCTTGCCCTCCAGCTCCAGCAGTGGAGGTGCCTTCGGAGAGGTGGTTTGGGAGGGATTAGCATTACAGGCTGGTTTGGGAGCAGTGAAAGGTTTGGGGCCACTTCTCACAGGGCCCCCTTGGTTCTTCAGGGCTGGATTCTTGTGGGTTTTCATGTCATCTGAAACGTGCCTCAAGCCTGCAAGAGAAGTCAAACCTGAGACCCAGCTCTCCCCCGAGAATGCAGTTCCACAAAGAGGAGACATCAGTGGTTACACCAATCATGATTAAGATTTGCCAAAATGCAAATAAATTACAGGGACTGGGCCTAAGTTGAGCCCAAGCTCGTGACAAGTGGAGGGAGCAGGAAACACTGATGCAGTACTGATGAGAACACAGCACGTACCACATGGCATTGCCTCTGGCTACCAGCCCCTTACTGGGACCAGACGGGTTTTTGTCATGCACTTTCTAAGGAGGTTTACAGGGGGACAGCAGCAAAACCAGGCCCTGCAGCTCAGCAGTTCCCTTGCTGGTGGCTGCTCTCCCTCCTCCCTTCCCTCTGCCACTCCCACTTACCCGAGGTGATCCCTTCTCCCCGGTTGATCTGGGCGAAGAGCGCCGAGCGCGAGGCAGAGTCGTCTGTGCTGGAGCTCACGGGGGCAGGGGGAGGGGGAGGGCCTGGAGGGGGGGGTGCAACCCCAGCGGGGGCAGCAGGGGCTGCTTTAGCCCCTTCTGTGGCCACAGGACCCTGTAAGAGCAGAGGAGAGGAAAGGCACTTGCACAAGCTCCGTTTCTGCCGCAATAATCACGCAACGCGGAGCCAGTACTCACCGTTTTGCTCCAGGTCAGCCCCGTGGTGTGGTACTCTTTGATGTAGGCCTGCAGCTCTGTCCAGATACTCAGATAAGCTTTCACCCAGTCCACTTGCTTTTTATCTCTGAGGACACAAGGAGATCAGAGAAGAAGGAATTATAAGGCGGTTGTGGTCAGATACCAGAGCAGCCCCTGCACGCTCAGTAAACTGAGTTCCAGATCTTTGAAGGAGAAGGGGAACTTACACATCCTTGTACTCCTTGAGGATCCTATTGGTGTAAAACATGGCAGCATCAGTCATTTCCTTCACATAAGGACCAGGCTTTGGAGCCTAGAGCAGAAAGAACACGTTGGAACAGCTGAGCAGTGAGCCAGACTTTTCCCACCATTCCAACCCCTTCCCACCGGAGTCCTTACCATGGCCACCCAGCCCAGGGCTGGGATGCTCTCGCTGACTGCAGATAAGTGATTGAACATTTTGCTGCCACGGTTCTTCTCCCTGAAGTTCTGCACCACCTGGATTTGCTCCGAGATGGGTTTCAGGAGCGCTGAGAAGGCATTCTGCAGAGGGACAATAACAATTAAGGAGATTAATCAGCAGCGCTCCAGAATGGCTGCACGTCTTCACGGGCGGCTCTGCCGAGGCGATGGTCACTCAGGAGAAGATTCCAACTGGCACAAGTTTCTGCTCCAGCTCCTGCCCAGGCCTGGCCCTCCCCTCGAGCCCAGCTCAGCCCCACAGCCTGGCTCCTCCAGGGCTGAAGTCATTGCTCCCAGTCGGATGGGAGCACGCCAAGAACTGTGACTCACGTTCAATCCAAGAGACACTGACAAAGCTTGTTAGGGACGAGGACAGAAATAGCATTTGCCTCTCCTGGATTCTTTTGTTCCAAGACAGTTTGTTACGTTTTTCCTCTCCTTCACAAACCCCTTGGAGAAAGGGGTGATGGGCAGGTTTGGGACCCACAGGCTGCACCACAATCAAGAGTCACAGCAAGTTCAAAGGTCATCCTACCAAGCCAGACTTCAAGATTCCAGTTATTTCTCAAATCAATCCACACCTTTAGCATTTGGATGGTTAAAAACTGTTTCTGTGTGTTGCTCACTTGGAACGCTGACTGGAAGTGCTAAAAAGGGCTCTGAGGTCAGAGCAGAGCAACCAGACAGTTACACGTTTCCAAAGCTGCCTCTTAGGCAACTTTTCTTTCCTTTACACTTAGAAAGTCTCCTGCTGGTGGCAGCAGAGAGAGACAAATTTGGGCAAAACTTGCTTTTTAAGTGCCTCAGCTTCTCTTGCTGTCCCCTCCTCTATTTAGATGAAAACTGAGAGGTCTCAAGCACCACTGGCCAGGCCACACTTCCAGAAGCTCTGGCCCAGTGCCACTGTCCAGTCACAGGATGGGGAAATTCTTCACCACAAGCACTGAGAGTTCACTCATTTTGCATTTTAAACTGGCTGCTCCAGAACTAGACTCCTGCCAGACAACCTGCACAAAGACCTAACCTAGATTAAGGTGTTCTTTGTTCATAATCCTTCATTTAAATAACGTGTCAGTGGGATTTAGAAGCAGATTCTCAGGCTGGAGGCTACACAGAGCATCCCAGCCAGCCTGGCGAGAGATAAACAACCCTCTAATGCTGAGTTTGGGGAAAAAGATGCAGATTTATCTTGCAGTGAATAGGAAAGGAGCACAGAAATCCAGCTCCCACAAGGTAACAGTAGAAGCCATGGCTGAGCCAGATAATAACTGCAAAAGGCAAGGTGGGATCCTGTTGCTCAGGAAAAAAACAGTTCTCAGCAGGGAAAAGCCAATACATTCAGGATCAGATTCTCAGCCACACATCCTGCTGAGAAGCAGCAGCCCAGGGTAAAGTGTTAAATTACCTGCTAAGGACAAATCAATCCTAAAAGGCCAGCTCTTATTCAGAGGCCATTCAATAGACAGAAGTGTCTGTTCTGCTCCAGGAGGACTTTGATGCCTGAAAGTCTGTGAGCGTCACGTAATGAAAAGCACACGCTGCACAAATCCCAGTGTGGCTCCTGGCTCAGACAGGCTCCTGTCTGCAGGTTCTCAGGGAGCAGTGATTGTGCAGAGCTGGTGCCAGGTGAAACTCGAGACAGAGGCTGTGAGGTGACACTCACAAGCTGCTCTGACAACTGTAACTGTTGCTGTAACAACCGGAAAATGCCAGTTCTGCAGCTCTTGAGAATCACCCTCCAGAACTCTGCTCAGAACTGGGGGAGCACCCAGGGCAGTTCACGCCTTCAGCAAGTGCCACCTCGGCTGTGCAAGTGTCCCCAGACCTCCTCCAGTTCCTCTTTTGGAGCAGCTGCAACAGCCCAGGCTCCCCTGCACCCCCAGACACCCCTGACGCCGAGGGAGGAGCACACGAGGTTTCTCATCAGTGACGTCCCAGACTCACCTCCGCTGGCTGCTGATGCTGAGATGCCACCACCAGAAGAGCCCTCTCACTCATCAAACCCGCGTGAACCATGTCAGCCTGAGGACAGAGACAAACATGAGGGAGATTCCCTTGCACCCAGGCTCAGGTTAACAGGTTGTCCCACCGCCCGCAGCTCCTGCTCTGGGAGGGAGCAGCTACACGTAATTTGGAGACAGCCACCCTCAAGAGAAGCCTCAGCAGAGTGAAACACTCCTGAGCTGGGTGGTTTTCAGGCCTCCTAAAGGCCTGGACCAAGGTCTAGAGAGAGCCAGGCGCTTAACTATCAAACATTTCCAGGAGGAGGTTTGATTCATCGCATGTGTGTAGGTGGCAATCTGCTGGAGGTTATCTGGGCATCTGTTTTGAATCCTCAGGGATTATAAAGATCCTAGAATGCAGCACTAAAGGAATGCAGACCCTGACAGCAAAAGTGGCCCTTGCAGCCCCGAAGGACACGCAGCACCTCTCCAGAGCAGAGGGAGAACACGAGTCCTTACGTGTTTCTGCACATCCCCGCCGACTTCTTTGCTGATCTTGATGTATTCGGCTACTGGGCCAGACAGAAGGGCATCGAAAGCCTGCACATACTGAGCCACTCCTGCAGAGAAGGAACCAGGGCACAGGGGTCACTGGGAGGCACTGGGAGCACTCACACAGGCACTGGGCTCCCGGGCTGCACCTCCCGCCTGGGGCACACCATCGGAGCTCAGCCTGGAGGGAAGTGCTGCAGCTACAGGAAGTTCTTATCTTCACAGGACAGTAACCACAGCCCTCTGCGCCTGCGCAGGGTCTGCTCCCAACCCCACTTCCCCCTGAGCAGGGCCAGCTCCCCCAGAGCCCCACAAGTGCCCTGTGCCAGCTCGGCACGGCTGCTGCCGGCGCGCCCGGCACCGACACTGCCCCGGGGAGGTGCTCTGGGATTTACCTTTGGAGGAGCCCTCTCCACACATGCCAGGCCCTTGGCACACCGTCTCCAGGCGCTCCACAGCCTTCTCCAACCGTTCAACCAGCCTTTCCATATCGACCGCTGTCCACGACCTGCGGGGGCAGAAGGTAATTATTTGCATCCTCTTGACAGCGTGGAACTCGGGTGCCAGACACTGCAGAGGGTTTATCAGCTGTCTGGTACAGGCTCTGCCAGTTCCAGGAGAATAATTCCTACCCAGGTCTGCACCCTGATGATGGACAGCAAATACTCTCACATTAGCAAAGACAGTCAGATTACGCAACAGCCACTTGCTGTTGCCACAGTCGCTCCTTTAATAGTTTCTATTCCATTTCAAGAACTTCTTAAATGTCTAACAACACAAAACCTCCACCTTTTAACCTTGTAGTGACACAACTAACACAACAGTCTGCCCAGAATCTCCCTGCAGTCAGTTCCTGGCCAAAGTCCCAGCCGTGACCACACAGCAAACGAAGCACAACTGCTGTGCTGGGAGCTCACACGCTCCAGGTGAAAACTAGGAAGGGTTTGACCCTGTAAACTCCTCCCCAGGGACCTCCTGGAGCCCTGAATTCCTGCAGGGAACATCTGTAAGCCCAGCATCACTCGAGTGCAGAGCCTCAGCCTGCAGAACGAGCCGCCCTGGCACAGCACACGCCAAGAGGAGCAGCTGCACGAGCTGGGGCGGCAGAGCTGCAACAACGCGCCCCTGTTCTTTCCTCTGCAGCCTCCTCTGCAGGCACTGCACAGGAAAAGAGGCTGAGGCACACGAGTCATTTGCAGCATCTCATCTGGAAAAGTCTTAAGAGTCATCTAAACTTTCCATTAATTACTGCTTTGCAGGGCCTCTGCACCGAGCAACAAGATGGGTCACGCTCGGAGCACAGTAACGCACAGGGAATGCAGGGAGGGAGCAGCAAGTCAGCAATGGCATTTTTATCTTATCACCACTCACCAGAAGATTTTACAGCATGAATCACTGTTGTGGCCTGGACACAGCTTCCTTCTCACTGCTACAGCCTGCAAGAGCTCCAACCCTTGGGCTTGAACCCCTTTCCCAAAATATTCCCTAGATTACTCGAAGAGGGAGGCAGGGTTTACTCTGCTGAAAGATGAACTGATACTGGATCCCCTCAGAAACGAAACCTCAGGTTCTCACTAGGGTTTTGCTTTTGCTCACAGGCCTTCTCAGCCCTGCTCCAAAGTGCATGCTTTCACCTAATTTCCAGAGGATGTGGGGCACATCCAGCGTTAGTCACGAGCAGCAGCGCTGATGTCACAAGACAAACAAGGCCATTTTCCACCCCTCTTTCTCCTGGTTGCACGAGGAGGAGCAGCACTGCTGGGGGGGGGGGGCAGGGGAGAGGCCACCCCCCTTCCAAGAGGAAAAGAACGGTTTCCTCCCCTGTCCAAGAGCGAGCCAGAGGACAGGCTGTGCATAAAGCTAGACAGCAGTGACTGGATGGCTTCCAGGTAACACAAGAAAGAGTTCAGAGGAGCTGAAACCCCATGGCAGTCACCCCTGTAATCACAGTAATGACACCTCTGCCTCCTGAACCCTGTGCAGTGTAGAAATCCCAACCACAGGATCCTCAGTTCCCTGCTGCATCCAGCACAGGGCTCACGTCTCCCCGTGGGAGCACAGCCAAGAGCACAGCTCTGCCTCCCCCGCTCTCAGCATGCTCAAAGTGTGGGCTTCTTCCCCCAGAAGAGCCACCTGTTAAGGAAGCTCTGCCTGGCTCTGAGAGCAGCAAGGCAGAGGGGTGGAATAACGCAGGGGGGTTCAAAAAGGACACGGGGTGTGCTGGGGCAGACAAAGCTGCTGTTCTGCACCGCTGATCCCCACCACATTCCAGGCAAGGCCTCTAATCTGATCAGCCCCATTACCCAGTCGCAAACTGCAGTGCAAATCGGGATTACAAACCAGAAAGTCCAGATGGAAGGGCTGCTTCCTACCCCCAGCAGTAAAACACGCTGCTGCGAGGAGCATATCGCATCAGCTGCTGGGATTAGTGCCCTTTAACATCCCACTGTTCCCTGAGACACACATTCCTTCCACTCTCCCTGCCAATTTGACATGCCCTTCCGTGTTTTTCCTGACAGCAGCCATAAACTCACAGTGCTCAATAAACCCTGTGCTGTGGGGCAGATGGTGAACTCGTTTTGATTTGTTTATAATGGGTGGCATTAGGGCAACTTACAAGATAAGTCACTTGGTAAATTGGCGTCGAAATGAGAGCTAAGTGCAGGCAGCCCAAAGTCCTGGGTCTCAGTCAGTCCTCTTGACTCACCCTCCCCTGCGCTCTGTGCACTGTGCACGCAGCTATTTCTGCTGCCTGCAAACCCATATGGAGTGAAATAAAAAGGTTTACTTGTAACTAAACCAGAGCTTGTAATCCACAGATTAACGTTTAGCAAGGAAAAACGAAAATAACCACAAAGTGGACCTGCCTGGGCTACATCTAAAACACTGTTTTGCCCACTGATCACTTCGAATGCAAAAATAATTTGACAGCAAGTGACAAGCTGACTTCACGGATCTCAGTGCAAACAGTCAGGCCTCATTTCCCTTCTCTAAAGGGGAAGCTGAGACACACGGATCATCGAAGAGTCACTTTTGTTCTGCACATCACCCCGTGCTCTGGAGGGACGAGGAGGACTTTCCAGGGGTTGGAGTTCCAGAGTGGAGAGGAAGCTCTCCCTGCAGGATTTCAACCCGGGTCTCGTTTAGAATTCACTTGGACTCCCGATTGCCAACGGAGCGGAAGTGATGGGCTCGAGGCAAACACACATTTCACTGTGGGCCAGGGAGGCCATTCCTTTTCACAGCACATTTGTTAATGTATCAACTGCCCTTTATTTCCTACCGCAGCTTGGGAACACGGCTTTGAACACGCTGTGCCACAAACAGGCTCCATCTACAGCCAGACTGTTTGGATACACTGAGAGGAGCAACAAAGGGAAGGGATTTTATCTGTAAAAACACCAGTTACCCCAAAGCCAGCCCTGGGCATCACAGCAAGAGGAATCTCCTGCTCGGGGAACATCAGGGAGTGGCACATCCCGGCCAAAGGCTGCTCAGAGGGGTGAGCAACCTCTCATAAAACCAGCACAAATCAAATCACTCACTTGCCTGAGACAGCACATTAACCTGGCCCCTTCCTGAGACGTTCTGGAAGACACAAATGTTGGTTTTATAGCCAAAGCAAGTCAAACCTACGCTCCTGCTCGCACTGAGCTGTGAGGAGCCCGACAAACTGCTGTCAGCACCGTGAGATTTGCATCAGCGACTTCCTGTTTCTACGGGCAAAGAGAAATAAAGATGGGACAACTAAATTAGGAACATACCACAGTTTATTTCTGAGCTGACACTGGAATATCTCAGGGGAGCAGCTACCAGATGATTTCCAACATTTATATCTGCCAAAAGCCCATAGATTTTTTTTCTTTTTTTTTTTTTTTAAACAGTTTAGCTCATCGAGGAAGGAATTATTTGAAGCAAGACAGGAGTCAAATGCCTGAATTTAGCCAGTGGTCAGGACCAGCCACAAACACAAGACATCTATTGCTGGTCCCACCAGCAGCTGCCAGGACAGAGATCTCTGTTTATAGTACAACAATACTTCCTGACATGGTGCCAGAACCCGTGCTGGCTGCTCCTGCTATTTCACATCCACTTTATTTAGAAAACCAAAAAAAAAAAAAAAAAAAAAAAAAAAAAAAAAAAAAAAAAAAAAAAAAAAAAAAAAAAAAAAAAAAAAAAAAAAAAAAAAAATCCATCTGGCCCCTATTCCAGCTCTCCCATACAACAAACCCTACTGAAGCCATTAAAAACGTTATTTGGTGTTTTATTCTCACATTAAGAGACGGTTGAAGCGTCCCCTCGCTCCGCACTGGAGCAAAGGCTCCTTTCTCACCACAATTAACTGCATTAGGAGGTTTGCACTTGCCAGACTCTGTTGCCACACTCCTCTCATTTCCATTCCCTGCCAGGGTGACGAATCCACCAGGGGAGTAACGGAGGATCTGGGATCTGAGCTAAATTGGACGCAGCACCAAGCTCCATATCAGGAATTCAGAGCATGGCAGCTCCTCAGCATCCCTCCCGAGCTGTGCCTGCTCCAGCACAGCCTGCCTGGATGAACTTCCTACATCAATAATAGGGGGTATTTTTGGCTTCCAGAAAGCTCAGCAATATTCCAGGGACACGAGGGTTGCCTCTGGAAAAGGACAGGAACACGACAGTTCCTTGATGCCAGGGATTCCTGGTTTTCCAGTGCACCTACACTACAGCACAGCTCCTGGAGAATCCCAGATGGGGAAAAAAATCCCGTGACTTGGTGTGCAAAACATCCACGCTGTCGTTTTTCCCTTTCAGCATCACAAAACCCAGAGCAGTGCCATATTTATCCGGCCCTAACCGCTGCCAGGAACACAGCAGGAGGACTCAGCAACAGGCTGAGGGCAGGAACCACCCCGGGAAGATGGAGATGGCACCTGGGGCGTGGAGAACCAACCGCACCATCCTCGCTCCAGGCTGCGGCGAGTCCGTGTGGGAAGGTGGATAAACCCCCTGGCACTCAGCTGCCTGTGCAGGATAAACCCCCTGGCACACACCTGCCTGTCCAGGGCAAATTCCTGGCACACACCTGCCTGTGCAGGATAAACCCCCTGGCACACACCTGCCTGTCAGGGATAACCCCCTGGCACACACCTGGCTGTGCAGGGTAAATCCCTGGCACACACCTGGCTGTGCAGGGTAAATCCCCTGGCACACACCTGCCTGTGCAGGGTAAATCCCTGGCACACACCTGCCTGTCCAGTGAGTCTCTCCAGCCCCAGGAATGTGTCCCCGGGACCCCCGAGACCCCCCCGCTCCCGCAGGGACCCCCGAGGCTGCCCCGGCCGGGGCGTTTACATCGATCCGTGACTAAATTACCCCAAAAAGCACCGCGTTCAGCGGACCGACCGCAGCAGCCCGGTCGGGGTCCCGAACTCCGCCGAGGCCCCCCGGTACTGATCCCCGGTGCCGGGCTCATCTTCCCAGCGGGCTCAGGGCCGTGTCTCCCCCCGCACCCCGCTCCCAGTTCCCAGCTCCCGGTTCCCAGCCCCCGGTACCTTCCCCAGGACCGGGCTCTCGGCCGTGTCCCCCCCGCTCCCGGTGTTGCCGGTGCCCGCTCCCCTGCCGCCCCCGGGGCTGGGCCGTGTCCCCCTCCCGCTGTTCCCGGTGTTCCCGGTGTTCCCGGTCCCCTCTCACCTCCCGCCGCTCCCGCTCCGCCGCCGCCGCCCTGCCCCCCCCGCGCCCGCCGCTTCCGGCCCCGCCCCGCGCGCCGGATGTGCGCACGGCCCCGCGCTTGGGGGGCGGGGCCTGAGGCGGCCACCGCCCCGCGATTGGCGGGTGTGAGCCGTGTGGGCGTGGCCGGAGGAGATGAGGGGAGGGGCTTTGTGGGCGGGGTCTGCGCTGTGGGAGGGGCCGGGGGGAGCGGGACCCCCGGGAGGGGCTGGGGGGTTTTGGGGTCCGGGAGGTGCCCGAGGCCCTCACAGAGGGGTTGGGACCCCCTCAGCTGGGACCACCCCCCAGGGAGGACTGCAGATTTCCCCCAGGAAGGGTTACTGGGGCAATGGGGTCCTCAAGAGGTCTGGGACCCCCGGGAGGGGCCCGGGGGGGTTTCGGGCACCTCTCGGACCCCGAAGCCCTCACAGAGGGGTTGGGACCCCCGGCAGGGGCAGCTGGGACCGCCCCCCAGGGGAAGACTGCAGATAACCCCCCAGGAAGGGTTATTGGGGGCTCTGGGGTCCTTAAGAGGTCTGGGACCCTCTGTCCGGTTTGGGGGTGTCAGGCACGCCGAAGCCCCTGGAGACCTGGAGGCTGGGGGGGACTGGGAGCCCCCCGGCGAGGGCTGGGACACGTTGACAGGATGGGAGGGAGGAGAAACCCGGCGAGCTCGGCTGCCCCCAGCGCCGCTTCCTGCGCTCGCCGCGCTACCATAGATGGTCACGGCTGGGACCGGGATCCCCAGCGAGCCCGGGACAGGCAGGGGACGGCAGCGGGATCGCCGGGAGCGGGGCTCTGCTGACACCTAGTGAGGCTGCATCCTCCAGCTCCGAGCTCCCGCTGGGGCGGCATCCAAACCCCTCCGAGGGCTGCGTTTCTGTGCGCACCAGAGCATGGGAGTCGTGTGTCTGCTGGGTGAGCACACAGCTCCCCCACTCCCCTTCCCCTGGGGACACACAGCTCACCGCTATCCCCCTCCCTCGGTATCCCCGTCCCGTCTGTGCAGCCGCTGCCCTGGCAGAGCGCACCCAGCCCGGCAGGACCCACCACTGCCCTCTCCTCGTCCTTCCCCGTCCTTCTGAGGCTCCCTGCAGCTCCCTGCGCTCACTCAGGCTCTTTGCTGCTTTTCCTGCCTCATTTTCCACCCTGCCAACACATGATGTGCCTGTTGCCGTGTCTCCATAGTCATCAGACACCTCGGGATCAACTGGCATGATGTAAAACAGAAAACGAGGTAAAACCACCTCTTTTCCGTGCAGCCAGTGATATGTATTTGATAGCATCCTAAAAAAGCCACTGCAGTGAAAGCCCAGCTGCATCCTGCCTCAGCAGGGCAGGGCAGTGTCTGCGGGGAGGAAGCAGGACTGGGGAGAGGAAGGAGAAATAACCAGAGAACGGGGAGAGGAACTAGAAATAACCAGAGGAAGGGGAGAGGGAGAGCTCTGCCCACTGGGGATGTCACAGCCCAGCCCCAGTCGAGGTGTTTGCCTTTGGGTGGGTTTGTTCAGCTGAGCACAGTTCCTGGAGGAACAAAGATCGGGTTCCTGGTAAGGCTGGGTCACAGAGGAGCTGCCTGTTTGCAGAAGGCCTGTGAGGTCAGTGAGCTGTGGGGGGCTCCCAGTGCCCATAAAGCTGTGCCAGCCCTGCCCTGCCTCCAGGGCAAAGCTTACACCCTCCCCACGTTGCTGCCAGGTGGTTCGTGCCTTGTCCCCCTTTTTTCCGAGCACCAAAGCAATATTTACTTAATTTTTTTTAGCCATTTTATAGCTATAAATGCCTTTGTGTCCCCTAGAGAGCACCCTTTGGCTTTTGGCAGGAGAGCACTTGTCCGAGGTGCAGCCCAGCTTCATTCCTGTGAAAACAGATTTTTTTTTTTTGGTAGCAAGAAACCATCTCATTCCCACCCCCCCGCCCCTCATTTCTGTGCATACCCTGCAGTGCTGTGGCTGCCTCCAACCTTGGGAACAGTGGCCTTGCAAAACATTAACCAAAGCCCCCCACAGCAGGTCGGTAGCCTCCAGTCTGTGTTTGCAGATGAAGTGAGTGACCTCAGCGCGGTGGCGCAGACAGGATGACCCCTGGGGACAGCTGTTCCCAGGAATGCCTCCCTCCTGCCCACCTGGCCCTGCTTCCAGCTGGTGACAGAGCCCAGGGACGTTTGTCTGCTCGCCATGACCCACGGGGCCAGCACCTGTCCCGAGCACAGCCCCGCTCCAGCATTCCTGCTGCCCCCCAGAGCTTCCCAGGCTGAGCCAACTTCCAACTGCATCTCTTTGCTGATCCAGCGTCCCAGAGGCTATACCTGCAGGTTGAGGTGTCTGAAACCAGTCCTGGGTGGTGCTGCAGAGTGGGGCATGTGGGTCCTTCCATGTGGGCCAAGGGAAAACCATCCCCAGCAGCAGCCACTGGAATGTTTCACAAATCCAGCTGGGAGATAAATCCGAGGCTTTTTGCCCTTTCCCTGCGGATAAGGAGGGTGGTTATTCCTCACCCTCTGCGAGGAGAGACTTTCCACACTTCCACTTATCCCCTGCAGGGTGAATAGACCCACCCAGCGTGGCTGCTCTCACCTCAGGGGCTGTCCCTCCAGTCCCTCCTGCTGCCCCTGCCTTGGCCAGGATGGTGCTGCCTCTTGGCAAAGCCACCCCTGGCATCAGAGGATGCAATTCTGCAGGTTCACCTGCTGCCCTTTCGAGCTACAAATGGTAATTGCTTGATGTTGTCCCCTCTGCAGTTCCCCGAGCAGACCAGAAACCCTCTGCTCTGCTCCTGCACAGGCAGCAGTGCCCCTGGAGTTCAGGGAAAGCTCCCCTGGCAGCCTGTCAGAGCCCATCAGCAGGGACTCAGGGCCCAATCCCAGCCCTTGCAGCTGATTCCCGGGATGTAGAGCCCCAGCCCATGTGCCGTGAGTGGCACCAGCTCAGCAGGTGGGAGCACGCAGCTGACACCCTGTGCTTTCCACGTCCTGGCTTTGATTCCACAGGGACAGCACCACCCCTGCATCAGCCCAGGCACACCCAGCTGTCACTCCAGCTTTGCAAGGAGGTGCTTCCCGGCACTTGGATGCATTTTCTGCATCCCCAAGCCCATGTGGATTAAGTCACAGCGCAGCTGTATGTGCGGGCAACACATCCCAGAGTGTTTCTTGCCAGGCAGACTCCCCATGCCAGAGACTTTCTCCCTGCTTGGACTGGAACCCTCTGTAATCACAACTGGAGCAACATCTCCAGCTTCGAGGCTGGAGTTTTGCCCAGGGCTCAAGTGTTATCGACTGCCACGGTCATTTTTTCCTCACAGATCTATTTTCTTAAAAGCCTCAAATAGGAGAGGTGTGCTCTGCTTGGAATATCCGGGCCCTGCCTCAAGCTCTGTATGGTTTTAGTCTCTTGAGCTGGCTGCAAAAAAAAAACCTGAACACAGGCTCCTCCTGAGCCCCACAGAGCCAAGAAAACAAGGAGGCAGAGAATAAAATGTCCCTTATTTCTGTTGAAACTCCTTGAAAACAAAAGCTAGCAGCAATCTTTCAAATCCTTGGAGGCAGCAGCGCTGCCCACACCCCTCGGAGGCAGCCAGGCCCTGGCGATGGTGCCAGGATAACTCCCGGCAATCCCGGCCAGGAGCAGGGCAGGGGTCAGTACATTCGCAACAATCCCGAGCTCTGTGTTGGCTGGAGCCCTGTCCTCCTCTTTCTCCTCTCTCAGAGGGTGCACATGACACCCACCTGCCATGCCACAGGGGCTGCAGGGAGCGCTGGCTTCATCCCCATCTCATCCTGTCCACCTTCCTTCCCTGCAGGCTCCATCCCTGGGAAGGCAGGGAGCACCCCAGGCAGGGCCAGCGCTGCCTCCTGCCCCTGCTCAGCTCCCAGCCTCCTCCCATCATCCCTTTGCCTTCTTTCCATGACCATGGTGGCAGAGTGGGGGCCCAGTTAAGCATTCCCAGCTCAGGTCTAATCCCTCTGGGCTATTTTTAAACCTGGTCCTCATTCCAGTCCTTTGTACCCAAATGGAGAACAAAGGATGAGCCATCCTTCCCCCTGACCCCCCCCCCCAACTTCTCACTGTGACAAATGTGCTTAACAAAAGGCAGCAGCCCTGTCCCCCAGCAGAGTGGCCTTGGGGACAGAGCACAGCCAGCACAGTCCCCACACTGGGAATTCACCCCATCCTGCTTCATCCCTGGTGCATCCTCCCTGCACTGATTCCAGCCTGCTTTCCCCCAGAGTTACACTTGCTGCTGGAGGCGTGAGGAAAGCAGGGCTCTCCCCCACTGCTGCTGTGGAAGAGGGAATGCAAGAGGATGGTATAAATATCCACGGAGATCAGTGCTCCCACGGCACTCTGCCCTGGGAGGGAGTGTTGAGTGTCACCCACAGCCTGCATTCCCTTTCTCTCCGCTCCCCAGCTGCCTCTCCTGTTTCCAGCCCCGGGTTCACAGTCTCCGCTGGCAGCACTTTGATTTCACTCCTCCCTCCACCCCCGTTCCCTCTTGAAAAGGAGAAAATAATAGAGCCTTTGTTGGATCGCTGCGGCACCGAGCAAGGATCTGCACGGGGGAAAGGGGCTGCCTGGATTATGGCATTCCTGTGCCACGGCTCAGAAAAAGTCAATCCTGCACCCCACGGCGTCTAAAGGGACCCTGGGCTTGCTGACAGCCGTGAAAAAACCCAGCCAAGCAAAAAAAACCAAAACCAAATCCTTCACGCTCGCTGCTGGCTTCCCCCACTTTTATGTAAATTAATATTAACAGGTCCTCGAGTTCGGTTTCTGTACAGATATATACAAACAGGAAACAGCTCCCTATTTACACCATTAAGTTAATTAGGCCATATAAAAAAAAAAGAACAGCTTCCCAAATTAGTGTCCTATGTGCAGGCAGCAGAGGTGAGCTCACGTGCTCGGCGCGGGCACACCGACAGTGTAATGTACACCAACGATCACCCCCGTCCCCCAGGCAGGGAGGGGCAGTGGGCACGAGTGTTCCAGGCAAAACGATCCCAATCCGGCCTCTTCTGCTCTC